CGTCGTCGCCCGCCCGCCAGCGGGCAGCCAGGCTGTCCAGCGCTGCCCTGGCTGCCACCACCGCCGCACCAGCCTCCCGGCTGGCGCGGTGCAGAGCAACACAAACGGCATACAGGCGGCGCTTGAAGGCGGGCCACCACACCAGGAGGGCGTGGGGGTCGGTAGGAGGGGCCTGCTGAGCCAGCCACTCCTCAAGCTGCTGGCACAGAGCGGGTGAAGAAAGAAAGCCGAGGCGCAGGCGGCGGCGCTGGCGGCCAACAGACGGGGGCTTAAGGCCCAGCAGGGTGACAGAAACAGGGCAATGGTCGGCCAGAGGGGCCGGGCTCACTGTGGGGCTGGTGGTGAAAGGGAGCAGCGGGTCAGAGACGTAGATGCGGTCGAGGCGGCAAAACACTGACCCGTTGGAGAAGGAGAAGGCACGGCGGCCAGGGTGGCGCACGCGCCAGACATCCACCAGCCCGGGGAGGAAGAGGGAGAAGGAGGACTAGGAGGAGGAATCACTGCAGTAGGTGCAGCGGCGGAGGGGGACGTTGGCAATAGAGCGACGGTCAAGGTGGGGATCAGGAGTGAAGTTATAGTCGCCGCCCCACACCAGGCGCTGGGAGCGGGCAGCAGCGGCGGCAGCTAAGGGCCCCAGGGTGGCATGGATGTAAGCAGAGCGGGCGGGGGCCTGGTTGGGGAGGTACACGCTACAGAGATGCAGGCGGTGGCCAGACCAGGTGGTGCAGACGGCCGTGAAGCGGCCACGAGGGCAGTGATGAGAGGTGGGGGTAGACAGCTCGCCGCTACGCAGCAAGGCGCGGCGAACCAGCACAGCGGTGCCGCCACGCGGGCGGCCAGCGCGGCCCGGCTTGCTGAAGGAGATGAAAGCCTTCCAGCCGAGGTCGGCCAGCGCCTGGATGGTGGCACGGTTGTGCAGGCGGGAGGTGAGGTGATGCTCCTGGAGGAAGACGACGTCATAGCGGGCTGCACGCCAGCGGGCGGCAGCCGCCTGCAGGCGCCCAGGCACCGTCAGCCCGCGGACGTTGACGCTGCCGATGCGCAGCGCCGGCCCGGCAGGCCTAGCAGGAGGCGGCATCAGTCATGACCCCATCAGGGGCATCAGCACTGACGCGCCGCAGGCGCTCAGAGCGGCGGATGTCGGACACAGCGCCCCGCTTGCCACCCGCCAGGAGGGGGCGCCGCGCC